TCGAACGCTGATCGTCTCGGGTAAAAGAGAAAGAGAGGGGAGAAAAAGCACAATTTATACAAGGTGTATTCGAGCTCCGACGGGTTCGGGTGTGCTTATGAGTCCCGGGGGAGTTGTTCTCTTCTTTTCTCGCGTCTATCCCGAGCGCCAACGAATTCCTAGTCTCCTGACCGAGCGGTGAGCGAAGCAACCGATGATAAATTCAATCATCTGACTCTTATCGAGCCGCAATTCGCTGCATAGTCGCTGCTCCAGGAAGTTTAATACTGAGCGCGAGCTTAAGAAATTGCAGCAATCAACTGGGGAGAAACTTATACATATTCGCGCCATTGAGCCTCGGATCGATTCTTGAATCATTTGTCCCCCTCGAAGATGCCCTGAATAGCAAGGTAATTCTGAGGCTTCGAGCGATCAGATGGATGCCTGAATATGAGTAAGAGCGTGCTAGGGAAAACAGCCATCGAACCGATGCTCAGGGTTGTTGTTGTTAATCGATCCATCGATCGGACGATAGAGCGAGCGATCGCCTACAAACATACAGAGTCCTTGCGAAAACCCCAACTGACACAAGGGATTGAGAGGATATGTGATAGATCGGAAAAGCGGGGCAGAGAAACATTCTGACTGAGTCACGAAAGGATCTATTCGGGCGTGGTCTCACTTATTTGAGCGAGGCAGGTGCCGAATGGATGTTGTGCCAGACAAAAATTCGTCAAGTGTTCAATGGTTGTATTTAATTCATTCGCTCGATCGAGCTATTCGTGTCCCGGCTTCGATTGAGATGAGCAATCCCCAAGTCGTCCGTTACTCAGAAGCTCGGCCCCTCGGCCCTGCTGGCGCTCACTGAGGGCTTTGGCTCGATTGCCGAGTCTTCATGTAGCGCCTCGACACCTCCATCGAGTTCCGTATATGCGACTCATGCGAAAAGAGCTCACCGCGAGCGCCAACCCCGAGAGGAACATCGATTCGCTCATCAGCATACAGGAGTGCGCCTAACCCTCATCTGTAACGGATTCCCCGTCTTTCAGAGACAATGAGTTGTGGTCATCGCTTGCCCTTTATCGGGGAAGTGTCTCAGGCAAACATTCGACTTTGTCATGATGATGAAGTGTCCGCCAGGAATGGTCCTCAAACACGCTGTATGCCCATTTTGATGCGGGATATTTGTCGCTAGGGAACACTAGAATGGCTGTATGCGGAGTTCTCGAGGCAATAAAGTGCAAACCTGTCTCCACCCATACCACGTTGAGCTCGCGACGGGGAAAATCGCAGAACTGCTGCGATTGCAGGACTCATTTACGAGACGGAGACTCTCTGACGCCGGGACCGAGGGCAGAATGAGCCGGAATCAGATTATACGAGGAAATAGGGATAGTTGGGCTACGATGATGGGTCGAGATTATGGAAGTAACGGATGTCTTGCTGAGTCCGATCGGAATCAGTCGCTCGAATTTGGAAATTCGGCGATGTTATGTCGAAAGCTACGAGTCTAGATGTACGCTCGATTCAGTTCTCATGGCTCGTACTCGCTCGCTCACATTTGATAATACCTGAATATTATTTATTTCAGTGCTGGATCAGGGAACTGCCCAAACCCCCATTACCTCCACTCGAGGTGACCCTCGAACGATACCTCTCCTGCCTGGAGGCAGTTGTATCCAAAAATCAATTCGATGAAACGAAGAAAATTGTCAACGATTTTGCGAAAGGAGATGGAATCGCCTTGCATCGACTCGTCGAGAAATTAGCGCAGGAAAAAGAAAACTGGGTGAGTTGCTCGAGCGAGCCGAAATCCAAGAAAGATCAGCGGAGCAAATATTCGCCCTTTCAGATGGATTCGGTATCTGGAGTATTCCGATTCTTCCAGGCGACTTCCGTATGGCTCCCTGAGATGTACTTGCTGAATCGCTTGCCACTCCCGGTCAATCAGTCAGCGTTCTTCCTTTTTCCTCGGCAAAATTTCAAAACTTTCCGGGATCAGATCTTATTCAGTGCGCAACTCCTACACTTCGCCTTAGAGTTCCAGAGGCTTATCGAAACGTGAGTGATAAAGAATGGTTTGGATTGGATGATTTCCATGCCCTGATCACGAGCAAATAATTTTTCCCGTGCCGCCGTCAGGCGCAGGCCGCGAAGATTTTCCGAGGAATGGCTCACCGGAAGAATCTCACGCTGGGCAGCTCCCTGGGCAGCTTCCATTCTGGAACTAGGCATCTCTCACGGTCGGGCAGCTTAATCCATGTAGGAAGTGGGCAATCTTGCGGAGGGAGAAAACTTTGGGATAGAGGATCGAGTGAGCGGATAAGGTGGAGGAAGCAGGCCGCACGGCCTGCCCCGTACACAAATCGAATTTGCATCGCTCGAGGCTCTTCATTAAGCGGCGATTTTCATTGCACGCTTTTTAAGTCTCGTAAAAATCTCTCCAGCATTCACTTTCTCATGGGCCGGCTCGGACCGCCATCCTCCTCCGCAGGCATAGACGAGACCATACTCTCGCCCTGATTCTGGAACACCTTACTCAACGAGTATTCCTCCAAGATCGCACACGGCGCCCCTCGCGTTGGCGATGTTCTCTACGAAATGGGATCAATGCGAGATAGTTGTACAAGTAGCTGTTTGTCGGGACAGCGGTTGTTCTGCCATCCGGAACGAAGGAGAACAGAGTCTTTCGGAGTCTGCAAGAGTGTGGGCATTGTAAACCTATTGAGCTCGGTGAAGGGTAGAGCAAAGAGCTATAACGAAGTTGGGCATTACCATTTACCCAATGGTGGGCTTTCTCGGTGTTCCCCGGGCCGGCCGCTCTATTCCCTGTGAGGAAGAAACAAACTCGCGCTTGTGGTCAGGGTTTCCTCGCATTTTCTGCAAATCCCAAGAGCGTGGTGCGGAGGGAGGCTTTGATAATGATGCCCATTCCCCATCCCGACACTGAGTGCAGCCTTTGTGCTCCCTCGCTGCTTTGTCCGCTTGGGTGAAATCAGAATTGAAGACTGGATTGCACAATCGATCCGATTGTTCGCGTCCATCCAGTTTCTGACCGCTGACAGCCTTTGTCGAAAGGCTGAACATCTTCCTTTGGGAGGAGCTTCTCGGCGTTTAGATATCAGCTTCCGGGAAGTTAAACTGACCTCGTTCCAAATCCTCAGTCGAAATTCGGATCCTTTCTCTTGCAGAGAAACTCTAGACCAAGACTTCTCAAGGGCCGTTCACGTGAAGAGGTCGCCCCTGTGCATGGACACCTATTCGAATTTTTTCAATTCGTATCGCCGCCCTGGTGTAGAAATCGACTACCAGCTCAATAATAAACGGGATCCGAAGTACCACAAGAGCGTTGTGGTCATCCACCGCAAGCAGGTGAGTCAGGATCTTGAAATCGATTTTAGGTCGTCCTGGGACCACTCTCGTTTCGTCATGTCCGATTTTGGTAACAGATCACGACCTACAACAACTTTTCCGTCGATCCGCGTTGGGAGAGATTAGGGCTTTCGTTGCGAGTTATGGAGCGAATTAAAGGGATTTCGGGATCGTTTTGCGCCGGCGCCGTATCCGGATTGGGGATCTCGATAGCTTGGCGACACCAGACAGAGCTCGCGCGTCAGGGTGATTCTCAATTTGGTGCGAGATAGACGACTTTGGAATTGGAATCCGCCGAGAAGGTCAGCCAGGGCGACGATGGAGAACTCGAATGACGATATGACTCCACGATCGGCTGTCTCAAAATTATTCCGCCGGAACTCGGAAGAAGACCATTGCTCCATCAATTCACCATGAGATAGGAGCCGCGCTCGGAACTTTCGATTTGCGATGCGAAGGGGCTGCGTGCACCACCGATTCCATCGGGCCCAGCCCCCAGGACGCCGTCGGGGACGAACAAGCGAGCGAGCGCTGAACTGCAGGCCGAAGCTACCGTATCGAAAACGGATCTGGACGAGCGTTTCGAGCTCGTGAGGGAGGCGGCGGTTCACCCCGGACGGGAGATTTCAAGGATCCGTCTCTGGCTTTCGTCATGATGTCCTGCAGCTCACCCCCTCGCCGTCCGATGTGTCGGTCCATCCGCGGGGCACAAAAAGTCCATCAGCAATCTGTGCGCTGCTTGTGGTTGTCTGGTCCGACTGAGTGAGGCGAAATAGAGCCGCGGCGCGCCGCCAACGTGTTCGTATGCTCTCGGGCCGGCGTGGGTCGAAGTGTTGCAGGATGTGCTGGTGGGTTTTGCAAGAAAGCTTTTCATCAGACAAGCCAATCCGCACTTCAGACAGCCACTCGGACGGCAGTGGGCCGTCTGCCTGCTTGCCTAGCCGGCTGGGTGGCGTCTGAATACGGGATCAGTCGTGAATTATTTACAGCAATCGCGGCCTGTACTCAGTGGCTCAGACGCGACCCCGCAGCCATCGAGGAGGCAGCAGCAGCACTTAGTAATCTATTATATCGAAGCCTCCCGGACTCACCAAGAAATGCTCATAGAAATTGAGAGATTCACACCCACGGGGAATGAGGCTAATCGCCGGGAGGGCTGTAGGGCTCGAGGGCTGTAGCAGAGATCTATCTGAGCACGTTCGTCGCTGTGTCACGCCTCGGATGTGGAGGAAACTCGTCATTCAAAAAAAAAACGAATGGGATGCATGAGCATTATATACTGAAATCGCAGTGGCTCTGAAGTCGTTCGCTGGAATTCGTTGTCAGAATGCAGAAATTTCAAGGCCGCGAGGCCTGAGACGTCGTTGGAGATATTTTTTTTCGACCGTTACCACCACCAGATCGCCGTTGCAGACTCAATCTTTCTCCCGATCTGATTCAGCAATCGATGAGTTATCGCGATGATCCGGCGGGGAAAATCGATCGATGTGATGCGATGAAAACTTCAACACGGTCAGCTCCTGCAACCGTCTGTCGAATGTCGGAATACGAGCAAGTTCGAGCTCGCGCCCTGAAGGGGTACCAAAATCGGTTCTATTGAGCTTAGGACTCCTCTTCACATTGGTCGTACATTCATTACACGGGCCGATTCTCGCTTTGGCGGTAGGCTCGGGCTCACCTTATGATAGAACTAGCGTGCCCGGTCGCGCTTCGCTGCGAACCGTAGATGTATTTTCTTGGAACAGGCAAGGGCCATACGAATTTGATTGAAATATTTAGTTTATCTTATGTTTGCATTGTTACCTATTTTTCGCCGCTGAAACTTTTTGGCTACAATTTTCCATGTGTAGTATCTCGGTACTTCTGAGAATAGTAGCGTGCTCGCGAATGGATCATTGTCTGTGGAGGGGATTGGAGCCTCGACTGGCGATTGCCCGCCGTGAAGTATATGCGCTGTACGTTCTCAAGGTGTACCGCTAAGTGAATCACCGCTGGATGGCGCTCATGGATCGGAAAGGACAGAATACGCCAGACCGCCTCCTTGCTGCTGATGCATCGGCCAGCTTGATATCGCTCAATCTCGTCATTTTGAGCAAATGCATCTCCCATTCCAAATATCGCCATATCATGCCCTTTGGTGATACATTTGCAGATGTACTTGATTGATTTGACCGAATTGCAATACTCGACGTTGATGTGAGCTTTGAACGTTTTGGTCAGAAGAGGCCAATACGGCACAACCCAGCGATTATGTACAGGAACATCGACATTTCGAACTTTCAATTCCACAATTTTCCCACCATCTGTCGGTGGCCTACGTCGGTATTGTGGATAACCATCATTCCCGGTGATAGTTTCGGCTAGTAGTTTCCTCGTATATCGTTTCGTACATTTACCGTCTTTCATACACGGGGATTTGTCATTAAACGCACCACACGGCCCATGAATCATGTTCTTTGAAATGATTTGAAATAACTCCGGATCGATTTCTGCATCAGGTACTTCGGCTGAAATCACAACGTCAATCTTATCTGGTGTGATCTTTTCAATTAGCCAAGTCAAAATGTGGGCATGCGGCAATCCCTGTTTCTGCCATTCAATAGTATACATCCAGCAGCGGGATTTTCCGAAAACATAGTGTTTGACAATGAAATTCATGAGAGCCTTCAATTTTTGTTTGAATACGCGTGCCACAATATCATGGCGATCCGAGCTCGTTTGATCTGGGTACAATAGCGCTTTCATATTATCTCCTCCCACGCGGGGTTACATGTAAATGTAATGAAAAAATCTGGGCGACCGTAGTTTCGAACGTATGTCGTAGCATCTTGTGCGTATTCGTGCATGTGTCTAGGGCTCCCGGTGAATGAGCGTAATTTCGATTGATTCAGTCTAGTGAATAAAGACGTTCGGTCTCAATCTTCGCATACATATCGACAACATATTGATGCAACAACTGCCGGCATCGTAGAATATGATTGTCGGCATTGTCTCGAACCATTAAACGGTAAGCGTAATAATTCATGGCGCTGACTTTTTCATCGTTCTCTGTACCAGTTTGAGGATCAATCATTTTGATGTTCAGATGGTATCCATCTTGTCCTTCCCAAAATATTATGGGATACTGTAAGGCGTCGTACGAACGATGCGTTTCACAAACTCGTTGGAGGTCGCCGCTTCTTCGCTGAAGAACAATATCGCGTGAATTGAAATCTTCCAACAATGACAATCGCGACTTCGTCGATCGTTTGCACATTGTACCGCCTTCCGTGTTGGCCTGATGGTGTTTTGTCAGCTCTAATTACGACCTTGTACTCATCTGTCGGCATGCGCTCTAACGCCGTTCGGAATAAACGAACTAAGTGGTTGCGTTGATCAAATAAATTCTGCAACGCTGCCACGATATCACGATCCGTGGCGCTATCGATCTGACACCATCTGTCAACTTGCTCATCCAGAGCACCCATGAAATAAACATGAATTATACTTGCGTATGTTCCTGAAAAGTGATTCGATTCAGCGGTTGAGCCTGAAATCAATGTTGACAATGGCTCCGGCGGCGCAAGCAAATCGGGAAGCTTTACCTTCCCACTTGCACGGCACAATCCTAGCGGCTCATTCTTGAACTTGAGTGCGCAACAATATTGGCATGACATATTCATTTCGCCCATCCATACTTCAGGTTCGAGGCTATAATCGCAACATGGGTCGTAATGAAAAGCACTATACTTCAATTCAATGCTTTCAGATCGTCGAGATCGAGAACTCCGATCTCTATTGCACGCCAATCTAGCAGCTTTTTCATCATGGTTTTCGCTGAGTCGGGCGTTTGCGGTATAAAGACGATCAATTTCTAACCTCGATTCTCGATGATCAGATGATTCATTTGCACGGAATTGAGCAACATTACTCCGAACGGATTCTAATCGCGATTCTCTTTGCGTGTTGGTCTCCAGCGCCAGAGTCGCCGTCCGCTTCGCGGCAGAACGTGTCAACCGACCAATTGATCGTCGCTTGGGGGGATGGTCGCTTCAAAACGTTTTTCTAAAGAATTCCCCTTGAATGACAAAAGAGCAAAGCTTACCTCCTAGAGCGGCCACGTGAACACCACTCTACAATGTTCATAACGATACTGCCACCCCATTGGTCGAATTAGCTCATTACAGTAACGATGAGGACGAAGTAACGGCAAGTTATTATTCGCGATTACGTAGCGATAAATTCGATGCGAATTGAAATTTTATTGGCGCTAAACCTTCTCGGGTATATAATGATCACTCCCTCCAAAAATCTTCGCTGCATGTTCTGTGGTAATGGAATGCATAGCGAACAAACAGACATACATGCGATTTTTATATATAGAGATAAGGCCCAATCCCGACTCCCAAGGCGGAGCGATTCGAGTTCAGAGAAGAACAGGAAGGGTTCAAGCCAAGGATTATCGAATGAACTCCTCAAGACTAATACAATCGCTCCGATTTCAGTTCTATTTCCTCGATCTGAGCTCTGATCCGTCGATAGATTCGATTGCAACTGCGTTGAACAAAATCCGAACATCTTCGACCACGGACGAAAATACTCCCGTAGGCGCTCTAACGACACAACCGCGAGACAAATGGGCTCATCACTACGAATTGTTGCGCAAGGACAACACGGCACACATGGGTAAGTGTTCGTTCGCGGAATCTCCGAACTTCCAGATTGGAGACTTCCCTGAGTATCATTGAGAACGGCTATTATCAAGATTCCGGAACCAGAGAGGCAAGACCCGCGCTTATAGGATTTCCACCCGATTCATATTACAGAGGCTCTAGAACGATGCCTTCTCGTCCTTTGCCTCAACGAATCAACACCCCCGTCGAAGCAAGGATTGAGTCGCACCGATCAATGTGAAGATCTCCTGCATGGCAAAGGTGTCAATTCGTGCAATCGCTGGTATGACAAAACCTTGCAGGTGAGTTCTTCCGAGGATGCGGCTGAAAGATCTGTTTGCGAATGAACATAAGGCTCGCTCTCTCGGAGCTCCCTGCCGCGACCGCGACGAGCTCGCTGCCATGGTTCTCATTCCTGCCGGTAGGCAGCGCATAGTCACATCGGATATCTCGGGTACCTCGGAATATCCGGGAGCTGGAAAGAGGCGCTACCGCAGTTGGAAATCAGTCAAACCGAGCTTCTGACTGACTGAAAGCTGCATGACCGGGCCGCTTCGTATGTTTTTCGTTCATAGTGTGAGACAGGGTGTATTGGATTCTACCGCGAAGGAGAGAGAAATGCAACGAGGGTGCAGACGACGCGACGCGGTCTCTCTGCACTATGGACTCGATTCCATCCGCACTACATAGTGGGCGCCTCGGTCTTGTTCTCCGAAAATCGTGTGCTTCGCGTGTATTCGCAATCAGCTGATGCGCCTCCAGCCCATGTCTCGCTCGTCATAATCCGGAGCTTCAATTGTGCACGGCGTCCCGTCTAGAGTCTAGATCGAATTCATGGCCCCTTCTCTAGCGGTTTCCGTCAGTTCAAGAGCGCGAAGAGAGTCCTCCAGGACGCAAACCCATGTTCCACGCGGCGTAGTTCCTTCGGCGTAGTTCGCGGTTTCAGGCGGGACCTATGAGGAAGACCCCGGCTCGAGCGGGTGTCCGGAATGTTTCGCAGCTTCCTCGTAGCCGGTCTCTGGTCCCTGACCCCTGCTTCCTTCTGGGAGAGATGTGTGTCGCTGACAAGTCGCTGTGTGAGCTTGTTCGTCTTTTGAAGCCTTCGGGAGGCGAAGCCTTTGCTGATCCTCGCCCCGGGGCCGGAGTGTTTCTGAAGGAATGAACTTCGTCACTCCGCACTTCCCGCGCCTTTCCATTCTTCCGCTGACGCCGCTTAGTGACTCATTTTAGTTGTGCCGCAGTCATGTCGGCGGCATCCGACAATGAACTCACGGGCCCTTAAGTCACTCATTGCATGATAGCTGCCCCGAGCTAGACGATCAATACCAACATTTTCTATTCCGACTGCAGGTTATGGTTGGTGTCGACGGCGTGACCGGAGTAGTGATGGAACATTCTCAATCGGAAGGAATCACACTCCTACGTTTCATGGAAGATTTCCTCGCCCGACAAGCTAAGAATGGAGTTCATAATGTCGACTGGAGCGCAGCTCCTTGCCCATTCGAAAGAATGCAGTGGAAACTGTCACCGACTCTCACGCAGGCCATCGTTCTCGCGAGAGAAGACGTTCAGAAGTAAGCTGTGCGATGTATTTTTGAAGGTAGAGATTAGGAAAATAGCGTCGGGAATGAGCGATGAGTTCAGACAGTTCTCCCAGCAGCGCTCGCTGAGATTCGACGCGAGACGAAATCGTCTAAAACGAAGTATTTTTCCCCTTGCATCATTCTCTCTCCTTCCTCGCTCGTGCCGAATATCCTCTCAGACTGGTTGACGACGTGGATCTATACGTTTTGCACTTCAAAGACTTCGGGAAAGCACTCCCGAAATCCAAGAAGATTAGTCCAGATGTTTTCGTGCAGTTGGCCCTGCAACTCACGTACTACAAGTAAGTAATTCTCCTTCCCCTCCGGCAACACCCCATCGTTCGAAATATTCACTCTTCGAGCATCTCTCCGAAGAAACGAGTATCCGCTGATCACAACTTCCCTGTGACGGGATGACGCAGCTTCTTTAGGGCTCGAGGAAAAATATCTATCTGATACGTACATGAGGCATCCTAACGCACCTTGTCCGGCAGAGTACACCGCAAATTGGTTACCACCTACGAGAGTGCATCGTTGAGGCGATTCCGACTCGGCAGAGCGGACAACATCAGGGCGGCGACTAAGCAAGCGTTGCAATGGGTCGAAGCGATGTGCGACGAGCATCAGGAGACAGTGAGTTTCCGTTTCTCAGAAGATTGAATTCAAATCACCGGAGCCCATCGATGCTAAGCTTGAGTCGGTCACTGACTATCGGAATTCCGCATTTCCAGCAAGAACAAAAACACGAACTCTTCCGAGAAGCAGTCGAGGCACAAACTGCTATTCTGAAATACGTGAGTATACGAGGAGCACTCGAGCGACGTCCCCCGCCATGCACGTATGCGTATATCGTGGTCTTGTAGACTCGATCGGATCGGTGGTCTTCGCTTTCGACCTCATAGAGACGACCGATTTCTGGCTTGCAGACGATCACGGGCAATGGTCCAGACAATCACATGTTGGCCATGCGGGAAATAGCGAAGAAAATACAACTCAAAACGAGACTGTTCAACGACAAATCCCATCAGACTTTCTGGAACTTCCAACTCTCCACGAGTCAGGTTCGTTCGCGCGCGAATTTCCGCGCAGTCTTGGAAGTCGTGAGGTCTATAGAAGGTCCTGCATGGAAAATCCTGTTTATCTCGTCGATACCCACCATTGAAATATTGGTCATGCTGATTCTAACTCGATCTATAATCCGAGCAGCTTCCAAACGACTCGAACATAATTGTTGGCTATGGAGCTGTGGTGCCCGACGGGTACGGATGCGCTTACACGATAAATGAGAACGATATTGTGTTCAGCGTGGCTTCTTTCGACTCATCTTCTGCGACTTCGAGCGACTTTTTCGCACTCAGCCTCGAATGTAGTTTGAACCAGATGCGGGAACTGTGCAATCTGGGAGCGAAAGCTCAGTGAGACTGTTGATTGTTGTTATCGTCATCCGAACGAAACCTGTTGTGTTCACGTTTAATTTATTATCACTCGAACACGAGTATACTCGCCAGAGTCTCTCGTTCCCTGCTCCTTTTTGACCTTGTTGATCTTTCGAAAACGTGATATGTCCATGCTTGTTGTCATGAATCCGCAACATCATTGTATCTGTCGGCTTTACAAGAAGATTCGGGATATTACCCTTGTTGAGTTCGGTGTTGGGAGAAACGAAACCGCATCGACATACCGACAGTGACGCCTGCCGTCAAAGATATTTTAGGGATGCATCTTCATATATATTTATAGTTATACCTGTATACATACAAAGCCTTCGAACGTCACAAGTTGTTCACATAAAATGACGTTTCTCTCGTTGATCCCCGGATGGAAAAATATTCATCGAAGGTACCCTATGGTTGAAGGACTCGTTCCGACTGTTGTCGTGCCGTTCTCTGTTACGTGCCATACACAAAACCATTTTCTACACACGCCGTTGAGAATCGATTCAGCGAGTAAATATCTCGAACCAGCGCACGGGTTCTCGGAAGAGAATCGATAGTCCACGCAGGTTTGTGAATGATCGGCTCATCTCTATTTATCACGATGAAGTACCATCTGAGAAAAATAATAACAATCGGAATCATATCTGCAACTTCATCATCGTGTCATCCGATTGGCCATCTATGAACAATATCGAACTTTAGACTCTCGGGAGCTCTCTCTGAATTCAAATTCTCATGCAGGCGATCGTTGTGCTCTGAAAGAACATTTAGCAAAACTAGTTGCGACTGCTGCGATACTGCGGCGAGCATGAGCTCCCGCTCTTGATTCTCTTAGGTATCGGGATATTGGTGAATCATTAGGTACGAAGTAGCGGAGGTTCCCCTGGAGCCAATCCAAACAGCGGATCGGTATTGAGGGAGAACGACAAGTCTGCAATCCAGCAGCATTTAACGACAACTGAGTGAGAATGCGAACAGACAAATCATGATGTACAAAGGCTTATCAACTTCTCCTAACATTATCTCGCCTCGTTCCGGAACAATCACCTACTTTCACGCATTGAGTTTCCCTTGAGCTCGTGGAGGTTTCCTCGGAGATTCTCTCCGAGCTCTTAAACGGCGTCACAGCGCCGGGGGATTCGATCCGATTCCGTAGAAACCTCTTCACATTCCGCCGATAGCCGAAAGTGATATGCTGTTCGCTGTACAGATATCGATGTCTCGATAGGGTGCACGAGAGAATCTCGTCGTTTCTGACATCGATTAGAATAGTCACACGACGAGTATTCGTCTAGCAGAGTTATGAACGACTAAGTACGAGTAGCAATAGACTGTAGGGTTTAGTTGGACGGAGTCCATGTTTTTCAATGGTCCGAGGAGCGGTTGATTCCAAACTGTGTAACTAGCGCAATAGTAGGACTCGCAATAATCAATGAAGCTTGTGCAAACAATCTTTGATCGCACACCGTCAGACTCGAACCGATTTGTTTCTTCGGAAGCGTCCTGGTTTCCTCAGTCCCTCTCCCCTAGATGCAGATTAAATTTCGGGGACAGAAAATGCCGAAGATCCAGCGATTCGATCTGAGAGGAGCCAAGAAGCGTTAAACATATCACACGTTCGAACAGGAGGAAGATAGATATGACACCGTTGCATGAGGTGACGGAATAGGCATCTTACAGAAGAGCGCCGGGTTTCTGCAATTATATGTCAATGAGCAGCAACATGGGAGCTCCAAAGAGGAGAGCGGAGACGTGCTTTGCGACGGAAACCGGGAGCCGCCCCTCTCTCTGATCAGGAAGGAAATACGGAGGAAATCCGGCGGTTTGCGATCTCACCGAGAAAGACCTTTCAGCTCGAGGTTGCCTTGTAACGCCATCTCGTGCTGAAAAGTCCTCCCCAGCGAGACGCGACCTCAACGATCCGGTAACCACTGTGCCTCCGGCTTGCTACGCTGCGTCTGATTGAGATTATACAGACTACATACTGCGTGGACGACAAGAACTCAAGAGAAAATGGATCCCTGATCATTCAGCATCCGGAGGACGAAGGTCGGGATCGCGGATGACGCTTGAATATATGGTGGGGAGTTGTGAGCATGTAACTTGATTCTATGTATGTGTTCGTCAAGCGAACTCCGTAACGAACATCGGCTCTGGAAAGCTTTTGACCCTGGAGTCTCTCGCACAATAGACCCAGAATTGGGGAATCGCGACGGAGGCAAATACCGAGGTTCAGAGAGAGCTCCGAGCCTTCCAGCAGATTGGATGGCCGAGTTCCTCAACCAGTACATAATTCAGCGACATTTTTGCTGAATCCCGAGAATGATAGAGAACGGAAACCAATGCAAGATGTGAGCTTCATTGTGCGTAGGACTCCAGGGTTCTTATCTCATGCTGTAGGTTTCGGATTTATCGAGCGTGGTTGGTGCCCGAGAGTATGAGAGAAGGGGGTGGGTTTCATTTTGAAATGTGGAGAATCTGGTGAACATCCTCGTTGTTACTAAACATATACATATACCTTAACTTCGACGGGTAATCAATGAGAGGGGTCGCGTTGCAGAGAAAAGGAAGGTGAAATCGAATAATGGATGTAGTTGTGTATCAATTCTGCGTGTGCTTAGATGCATAAGGTGGGGAAAATTCGTAATAAATGGAGATCACGGAGTTAGGCTTCTTATTCTATCCTTGATCAGGTCAGCTGGAACCGCTGATTCTTTTGCATTTTGGGTTTTCTCTGGAATCTTCGTTTCACATTTGGAGACGAGAATTGAAAAAACGAAAATTTGATTGATGCACAATTATTGCTTTCTGCGGGCGGCCGGGACAGTTCCGGCGTTCCGATGATCGCAGGGGTGCTGACAACGTGTTGCTCACCTAATCGACCGATCTGACCCGGTCGCGTCGATGAGTTCCGCAGGAACAAACTTCGGGGAAACTTTCAGAACCTATATAGACGCCTTGAAGAGAATGCCGAATCGGTAGGCTATTCTCCCGCTTCGGTAGAGCGTCCGCTCATAGAAAGCGTTCGAGCGCTAGTGAATCCCTCCTATGCATAAGTTGGAGAAAACACTTGATGAATCAAATCGATGACAGAACTACTCCGTGACGACCCGAAAAATCCAGAAGAGTCCCTAGCACCCGTGACTAGCGAAGTGCATGGATATCACAAAGGAGTTACAGAGTTCACCTCAGAAATATCTCGGACCTTCAGCTGTCTTACGGCCGAATCGTACGGGAAAAACCTCAAAAAATCCTTGAGAACTTTGTTTGACAGTGGGAAACGTAATATGATGCCCATTCAGGTAATGAGAGATGTTTCACAATAACAAATGTCATTTTGTGCATCATCTGAATATCAAGGATAAAAGCATCGTTTGCTATGAAGAAAAAGTTCAAACTACTTTTTCATAGACCAATTGCTTCTTCAGCCCACGATGCGATCACGCGGCATTGGCTGAACTATCTGGCCCGAAAGCTAATAAATTTCGCATCACTTGGCTGTTCAGCTGAGGCATGGGAACGGAAAAGGCGAGAGATTGGTCGAGACGATCACAAAAGCTATCACCTTATCAAAACCGCAAAGACCCGAAACAATGGCCATCTTAATCATTGGGAGTCACATCATCGAATAGCTTCATTCCTTACAATGCGCCTATCATGGCGAAGCATAAATAAACAACAAATACCTAATCTTCGAAAGCTTGAAAACAAGAGTTACGGGTCGAGCTACGAACTGGTTACTCGCAGATTAACGCTGCCCCTGCTACCCAAAAATACTATTAATTCAGCCGGTGCGCGTGATGCTGTGGTAATGTTTGCTCATCTCCAGTTGTATCGTTAATGCGGCTCGATGCTGGTCACTGAAGCTTGTCTTGTCAGCTACCTGACGCTCAGTCATGCTGATTCGATCGGCATTCCAACGTTTGCTGTTCAAGAAGCGAATGCAGCGGCAGCAGAAGCGCATTATTTAGCCGGAGCTCGGGCCGCGTGCCATTGTTCGAGCATGATAACGTCGAAGAATTTCAGCCATGGAATATATCCGTCTCTTCGCAACAGCAGTATCGGGTCGACTGCGAAAAAGAGTCGTCCATCGAGACCCTCTTATGCGAACAATACAGAACCTAGTACAAACAAACGTCGCGGCCGACAAACAATAAATTGAAGCCAGCATCGAACAAAGATCGATGCGCGCTTTATAATAGCAGTTGATTCTGACGCAACAGCTGCCTGATGCTCGTCGGACTTGACGTTGATGGTAGGTACTTTCTACCTCCGGTCCATTCCTTAGCGCTCTTCACCTCTAGTTGACTCAGCGTGGGAGGCTCATATCGGTGTGAAGTTAGCGGGATACGTTATGATGAGTCAGTGCGACGCTCTTTTGTGACGAGTCCCGTCCGTTTCCGTCTGAAAGTTGTCATCATCAGTGGGGTTTGAATGACCTTGAGTGATAATCACTCCTAGCTGTCCTTCGAGTCACGTTGACATCCCAGAAAGCAGATCCCCGACACTTCCTCCGCTTCCGATTCTGACACGCAGACGGGATCAGAAGATGGTCGAAGTCGGAAACTGAGGACTCGGGGGGAGTGAGAGTCGGGGGTTGCGACCCCTCCGGTAGGTAGAATCGCTCAAAGGTCGGGTTGCTCAATGGAATCCTGCATACAGGATACCGTGCTGCGTCGGAATGGTCGCTGACTGTAGCGTACTCGGAATAGCCTCGCGGCGATGTGTTCTCACTCGGTGGCGGAAGCTTTCCGGATCCACAGCAATTGATACCTTCAGCCTGGCTCCCATCGGAGACTGGAGCACGGATCCTGCGGTACACAGACTGAACGTGTTGCTTCGGTGCCGGCTACTTGCACGCATTCTGAAATGTTTAATTTTCGTGGAACATTGTGAATATAGTGCTTTGTTTTCAGAAACAGAAAAAATATTCTGAGGAGCGACTGATGGGAGAACGCATCAGAAGATGGAAGGCTGTCAACACTACAACAAACAATGACCAGGTGCAAATTGAAAAGGAGAGGAACAAGGGCAACCACAAAATTGAATGAGGTGTTCAGCAGTGGCGACAGTTGATGACTGCTGCTTCGGAAGAACAGATCGTTTCCGAATGTCTGTTCAAGAGCTCTTGAAACACAGTTCTACATTGAGATGAGTCTCAGCGCGGGGAACACTGTCTGAGACTGAACCAGGAAGGGGCTGACGCGTGCAACTCACCCGCTGGACGCCTTGATCCATGCGGGGGTCTGACATGAAAGGTTTTTTTTTCAGATTTGACAACCTGGACCCAAAAATGACTCCCACCGAAAACGCTGCGGCATCGTTTTTATGAATGTGTCAAAGTCTCCCATAACAGCCACTGACTCGACGCTAAAAAAAACCTCAGTGGGAAAGTTGGGATGGCCCCTTGTTTTTCTAGTGAAGTCCCGATCTGTGACCGGAACGGTCATGGAAGCTCTTCTCCTATTTTCGTGCCCAGCTGACTCTGGACTTCCGACTGCCTATATCGGGGTCTGCCTAAACCATCTGCATTATCAGAAATCCTGATACGTTATTGAGGCGTCAGACTCGTCAGTTCTTCCGGGTCGATTAGATTCTCCCTCGGTTTTCCCTCGCCAAGCCTTCCGCTTATTTGCTCGTGGCAGGAATCGAGTCTCCTACTGGACTTCCCCAGACCGGATCACAATGTTCCAGTAGGACATGCAATCGTTGACTGCTTTCTCTGAAGAGTCGGCTCACCGCTTCGCGGAAATGCGCCAGCTCAAATCCAGGCACCTACTTGCAGCTGTTTGCGGAAATAGGTTCAGGAAATCCGATTCTATTTCTTGCCCAAGACCACGGATTTTGTCCGCTCTGAAGCATCAATTCACTCAGCGTGAGAAGGGCTCGTGCCCAAGAACTTGACGCATTAAGAGAACTCGTCCTGACTGGTCGAAGTTCCCCCGCTGCGGAGCGCTATCCTGTGTGATCCAGAGATCGGATGATGATTTCGGAGCTGATTTGATTTTCCCAGACTACTCGGGGCGGTTTTGGAATATCGGCCAACGGTTGACGCTTCCTTTTCCTTCCATCGCTGTCTTCGATGATTTTGAACCTTTCACGGAATTTCCCCGCGAGGCTCCGTTATAGCCTCAGCTCTTTGATTGTTCGGAGCAATGTGATTCCGGCGCAGTCGCTGAGAGGCAGAGATGAACTAACAGTTTTCAAAATCCATTACACGCAGGTTTCTGTAGAACCCTTTAATGTTCTGCTGATTCCTATTTAGTAAAAGTGGCCGGTACAGCGAAGACGCTCAACAGGGAACGACCGTTTACCCCTCGGGTTCACAGAAGAAGCGGAGGAAGAATACGAACCAGACGAGTGTTTAGAAAACAAAGATTGAAGGGAACATTAAGGGACGGAATCGAAGCGCCGTGAGCGAGTCTGGATACAGGAGATGCCGGTAGTAGAAGAGCAGCTTTCGCTTCAGAATATTCTCTCGAGCTCTTCACCTCGAGAACGGTGCTCAGTGTTTCACCCAGAAGCCAGAACAAAGGGAATATAGCTTGAATTCTTCTTAGGCCGCCAACAAAAGTAGATGACGTGTCGCGATAGCACAAAACAGATGAAATTTTGTCGTTACCTCCAGAAAAACCGAACGTTCTTCGGGAACGAGAACATTTGTTGATGCTGCAAGAGAAACGCCGCGCCGCAAAACGATAGGGAAGCTCTGCCTACAACGGACTGATCTCACATTTCCATGCGCTTCCGTGTGACGTTGCTTGAGAGGAAGAATAGGCATCGGGATCAACTGCTAAGGATGTGAAGTTTGGAGTTTGGGTGTTGTTTGGTCCTTTCCAACTCAGAAGCACTCCAGGAGAAATTCTGTGTCAAGGCCCGGGCGGAATGACGTTCAACGGGAGACGGTATATCATATCTCTTATTGGTAAAGTCCGCGTTCACATCCACGGAGATAACAATAAATTGTTTATATTCTCGTTTACTAAGCCAACGGCTGCTCGTTCGACTCCGTATGTATCGCGACGAACCGCCATTATGTCACGGAATCGGAGGGGGGTTGGTTTTTTGCGGACGGGAAAATATTATATGTGGTCGGAAAGACCGTTCCGAGCGAGCTTTCTATGGTCATGAGCCTCTTCGACATGTGAGCCTCGGTAACACCAGGGGCCGCATCGATCCATGACGGGATCTATGATCACTTGAGTGAGTCGCGCAGAAATCGTAGCGAAAATTGATTTATGTCTCATGTGTTGCAGTCATATTGAATCGGAGGGTCATACATCGGATAACAAGGTGAAGCAAACCATAAAACGAAGCTTCGCGCAGAGTTTGAAGGGTCCATCCAATGCTTCGAAGGGAGTTCTTCTCAACTAACGCCGAGTCTAATGATGCAGGCATGAATGTTCTTTCGCGCGTAACTCCCAGGGAGGGGCATTTGTATTAGATCTTTCGAAAGTCGCGTCTGGATTCTCGACAAAGCCAGGGGATCCCAGATTCTCAAGATTCCATTGTCGTCAGTGGAACTCTTCCGAAGAAAGTTCCTACCTCACGATCACAGCATGAATTCCGAAAATTCTTTGAATTTCTAACGGGGGCTGTGAGCCGACGAACTTTCTAGTGGTCATGGCGGTCTTATGATTATGACACGCGATCGCGCGTCGACGTGAACTCGCTGCTCGGGAGATCGCTGATTTGAGTCTGGCGGCCAGCCGATTTCTTCAAACCGGCAGAGAGGTTTCCAGTCCGGATGGTCTTGGAGTTCCCTCCTCTTCTGGCACAGGTAGAAAAGAACTCGCAAAGCCTTCGTCGTCCGCCCTTGGGCCGGCTGAGCGACTCGGCCAGGCCAGGGGGAGTGAATATTCGAATGGGGAGGGACTGGTCTCGTCGCACAGCGAACACTTCAAGTGTGTTCACAGATCGGTTCGGGAGCGATCTTGAAGCTTTGGTTTCGCTCAGACGATCTATTCACCGTTAACCAGGTGTTCGGCTCAGGCAAACGCCTGGGCCGATCGGACGTTGCGCGGGACAGTCCGAGGGGAATCAAATTATTCCCTGGAAAATCGAAGGTGGGCAAGAAGACCGTCAACATGGTCCAAATAGCTCTCCTGGTCCATGTCCGAATGCCTTATCCGTCCAATTCTCCTCCGCTTTTTCGGCGGATATAGCCCGGGTCAGAAGGCGTCTAAACGACGAGGTATGAGTCGATAGGATCGTGAACAGTTCCTTTATTTGGCGAAGTATCATGCAGTTGGGTCCTTTACACAGTTGTCTACACGAATAAATATGCATAACGTACGTTTATGAACACTTGTCTCTCGAATGATGAATGGGATGTTTGATTCGTTACGGCGGGCTTTCATCGTCCGTACGAAGGCGGGCTACGACCACCGTTCCGCGATCCAGTTCCGGAATAGTAACCGCCATCCTCGTGGTCCTCGAGATCCGGTATATCGTTACTGTAGCTACCTCCCGGCTGTCTTGGGTATGGAGCGGCAGCTGAGTGATGGTTGTTGTTTTTGCTTTGATGGGTGTAACCCTGGCTCAGACCTCTCGATGACGAATATCCTGTGGATGGGTAATCCGAATGTCCTTGGGAATAATCCTGGTTGTTGTGGTGTGAATAACTCTGCGTGTCCTGTTTCGCATAGTTTTGCGAGTTCGAGAAGCTCTGTGCCCGAGTCGGGGGCGGAGGGGGAATAGATGGAGCTGGGACGGGTGCAGGGAGCCCTGAAACGCCACTCGCGTAAGGTGCCGGCCTGCTCGCGGGTCCAGCGGCGTAAGGTGGTGGCCTGACTTCGGGACCAGCCGCGTAAGGCCTGCTGTCCGGACCCGCCGCGTAGTTGTCGTAGCGACTGTTGCTGTACGAGTTCCCGTATTGTTTCGCGGCTTCTTCACCCGTCTGCGCCGAGGACTGGATCGTGACATCGGCGGGATTCTTCGATTCGGTTCCCTGCTCGTTCGTGACGATCTGGGCTCGGAAGCCGTTCTCGTCGGCAACGTATTTCACGATACGCATGCGGCCGTCGGCCATCATGATCGAGTACTGCCCCGTGACTCTGTTCCTGGAATCAGCTTGCTGCTGATGGGAGTGGCTTCCGTCGGTATCTTGCGCAGAATAGGAGAACGAGTACGGTTTCCACTCGTCGGCTACGTCGTATCCCGGGTCATTGTAATCATTACTGCCCCCTCCTCCTCCTCCGCCGCCACCCTGAGGAGCGCGGGCAGGAGGCCGGTACTCGGGTTGAACTGGAGCGGGGGGGCGGTACTCGGGCTGAACTGGGGCGGGGGGCCGGTACTCTGGTTGAACTGGGGCGGGAGGCCGGTACTGGGGTTGAACTGCGGCGGGGGGCCGGTACTGGGGTTGAACGGGAGCGGCAGGCTGGTATTGAGGCTGTACTGGATTCCTCTGAATTGGCCCTCCGTATCCACCGCCACCGTAATCCTCATAATCGTCTTGTGCCGGCTTCTGGTACGCCGCGTAACCGATGGCCAATAGCGGCGCAAGGAAGAGTACTCGCTGGAATAGGGAAGTAGATATTATTCGATGCGATCTACTTCGGAGTGAAGAAGCCCATGCACGATTAGAACGAGTCTTAGTTCGTTGAGAGCATTCGAACAAGCAAGGAGAAAATAGAAGAACCAGTGCGCAAAGACAGCGGAAAGTCATAGGAGTAAAGGAGGCGAGACAGTCTGGAGCCTAGAGGACATCGCTTGTGGAGCGCAGACAGGAATAAAGACGGCGGACTACGATCATTCTCTCCGGGAAGAAACTCATTAGAACTCGATGCGCTTCCAGATCGGAAGAATTCTGCAGATTAGAGGCAAGCCGGATTCCATCCGCATGGGTTCCATCCGACCTCGAATTTCATCCTGAGCTCTGGGCCCCGGGTCGCCTCCGAGCGAAACCTTCGGGATACTTCCTATCGTTCGACACTCAATCATGCACCACGAGAGACGATTTACAAAACAAAAAACTGTTGAGGACTGAAGATCAGCTCAGCCTTTCTGGACTAGCTGCTGCTCCTGGGTCTAACGTGGGTAAAATATCCGGACGATCAGGCACACTCTGAACACTTTTCACAACAAGACACTTGAACAGAAGGTAAGCTGAACTCATTGGGAGGGGGGGGGCGTCCGGGCTCGTCCACTCCGGCTCGACAGTAGGTCCGGTGGCAGCTTGTTCACTGGGCGATCCAAGTTTTCGGAGAAGGGTTAGGAGAAGCAGAGAAAGAATTGAAAGGATGACGATTCAGAGAGCGGAGAGCATTCGAAGAGATCGGGTACAACTCCGAGGAGGTTCTCGAGTCGTCCCCGGAAAATACGTGGTAGCTTCCGGAGGCGGCTTCGAGAAAGCAGTGGAGCAAACTCCGGGAGCTCCGAGGATTGGGCGCGCCGAGTACCATTTTGAGATTTTGTTATCCGCTTTGACAGTGAGAGATGTTCGTGGTCATGGTGAAGAAGATCGTAAACTTATAGCTTGGCATCCCTCTCCTCTGGAAAGTGATCCTTGCCGAAGTTCACATTTGACCTTAAGCCGCAGACGACCGCGTCGGCGCTACGGTCGCCGCGCATCTGCAGAAAGCAGCGCGACTCAATTATTCCGCTCAACTTTCGGATTGACGGATCGATTGATCGAATCGGCGATCAGACATTTTTTGGTTCTCGAGCTTCCGAAGGATAGATCCACGAGCTACCATGCAAATGGGTCGGAACAGGTCTCCCGGGTATAGAAGAGGGTCTCGGTCCCTTTTACCCACGGGCGAGCCGATGCCTTTCGGCGGTTTCACGCGCACGAACCGCGCGACTACATTCCTGAATTCCCTGTTTTCCCTCGAACGTCTGGGCGATCAATAGGATGGCGTCCGCTCGAATCGACTCTGGGAATCAGTCAGAGCCCGGTCCTGAATGCTGCGACAAGCCCGGGATGAGATTTCGACCCTCGAAAACGGTCCCGGGGCTCGCGACGGATTAATGAATTTCAACGAAAACTCCAGAAGCCGCAGATTCGCTGTTCATGAACTTGACTGACGAGTGAGGGTCGCCGACGGAGACTCGGAACAAGATAAAATGAAAACTCTCCTCTTCTTGATGAAAGTCCTTAATAAACGCTAGACACAAAAGAATCATCATCAACGGGATGAGGGGCGTGAAACGCCCGAGCCGTCTCAAGAAATCTGATCACAGATCAGAAGTTTGGCAGAAACGAGAAGGATGCGGTCTGTCGACGAGCGAGAACGGGAGACAGGCAGCGGAGTCCTCATCCCAGAGAGGAGACCTCGACAGAGACCTTTCAAGTTCACCGTCGGAACGAAGCTGATAAACGAACGGAATATCTTATGAATCATCAAAGTTCCGACAGCCGCAACGACAGAAGCTGCAACAATGTGGAACACAACTTCTAATTGAGGGCTGATGCAAATTTGTTCCGCGGGAAGCGCTCTTGGTGGCCGCGAAACGTCGACTTTCTGGCGGGTGCAAGTTCGTTTTGTTTTCCTTTTTCGGATCAGATCTCCCACGACCGTAGGGTCCGAAAAACTTCCGACGGACGTGCGTCGGGTCACAAGGCAACATGGAGACGGCGACACTTTTGAATGAATGATTGATTGACAGGCTGACTGGTAATGCTCTTCATCATGTTTCTCAGGAAGTGAGGTATTAATTTTTTTTCCACATTTCTTCTCTAATTTCCTCCTGATGCTCGCCCGTTGGGAAGAACGACACTGATTTTCTGGAGCTCATCACCGCTGTCAGTGTTGATCGTGATCGAACGGGTGGGTTCATCAAGAAAAGGGGAAGGCTCATGTCAGACGCGAACTTGTGCGAGCAGGAACTTCGGACAACCAGCTAAAATCGGGTGCTGAAAAAATCCCAACGCTTAATCATCTGTCGATTGCCGCTGGGTCCTGTCGAATTCGTGTCGGATGATCAGCGGGCGAACTCCCGACAATGTGTGTCTCGTTCCCCTAATGATACGTAGATTCTTCTCCTTGCAATCGTCTCTCGGCGATTTGTCGCAATGAACATGAATCCCTTTTCTGTCATTCGGTCCTATCTTCAGTTTTTTCGTTCTCTCATTCTGTGTTGTGCAACAATCGAGCGAAAAATGCAAAAAGAAGTCGCTCCGCGGCCACGAGTGAACCTCTGTACAAAGGTGAACAGCGAGTGCATAAGACTTGACGTCGTCTCATTCAAGCACAAAGCGATCACTTCTTTCGTTTGGGGAAATCCGAAGCATAGCTGGGAGGGAAATTTGATGTTCGCAGCGGAATTTCTGTCGAGAGTGAGATCCGAATTTCCAATGTACGCCCCTAGCTATTGAAGAAATCCGAGTCAACCATTAGTAGCCTGGATGGAAATCGAATATTACGCACTCGGATGTTTCTCACCACGTGAGAACTTTTGTTCACTTTGAAGAGTTCAGAGATGAAAGGCTCTCTGGTTTCTGCAACGGTAAACTGACGCGTACTTGGATATCGTTTAAATTGTACCACGGCGGCGCGGCGTATGCATCAGACGACGGATTTCTGGACAGACTACAAAGCCCCAGAGACAGGAATCTTATGAGAAAGCTACGAAAAACGCTGAGTGGAGATCGAGGAAGCGGGACTCGAAGGGCACGTCTATAATCGCGATTGAATGAACTTTGGTTATGGCCAAGGAAACAGGACAGACCCTTTATATGCGCCATTTTTTCACATTTACTTCTGGATGTTGCACGGTTACGTATCCGATCGCCAGAGTGTAGGGAATGAAGAATAGCTACTTGCTTGGGTGATGCCGATATCCGATTCCGCTCTGGCCGGTTAACAAACCTGGGGGAATAAATGACATATCGGCAGAGAAGTCATAAGCCGCGTGAGCTAGAGAAAGCTCCGAGAATCTGATTGGCTACTTTTTTTCCATGGATCAGGCTTTGAATCCGCTGAATGTTCCTTCCCCTCAGCAAAGGGCGCTGCCGTTGCTGCACCTCGGACCCCAAGCGCTAAGGACGTAGTTTCATCACGCGTCCTGTTCTCGGACCCAAGAACAGACGTATACTAATCAATTTTCCTCCTTCGCAGCTGTAGTTTATCGCTCTGCTGGCCACAATTGGTCATGGATACAACCCCACACAGAACAGAGACGCTTATGGGGAACAATTTCAGGTGAACATATCAAATAATAGATGAGTCAATGAATATTTCATGTCTTCGACCAGCCCGAGCTCATTCGCAGCATTGGAGGCAGCGGCGGCGGCAAGAGCGACAGCAACCGCAATTGATTCCGAATACTTACATCGAATGCTGAGTGAAGACAATCGTCATAAATCTGTTGGCGATTCGTTTCCCAGAGGGCAAAGAGGAAGAAAACTCACAGCATCATCGACATTTGATATGCTCCTGATCGATCGTCCGATTAATCATTGGAACAAACAATCAGAGCTCTTTGGGTGAACGATACGCGAGCGTTCGATCTTACTTCCCCATTTACAGGTGTTATGAGAATATTCGCCTGACCGCGGGAAATTCGGCTATTTCTTGGCCTTTCCAAAGCAGAGTCCCCCAGCGATACCGTACGATCGAGCGGAATAGAGAACAGATAGCGGAGAGGTATGATGAGCCGACTTCGGTCAAAGGGGCGATCGTCGGGGACAGTACTCAAGTTCTGTGACGCTTTCGTAACCTGCACGCCATATGAATGATTCTTGATTTTCGACATCTATGTGGATGTCCTGCTCAAAGTCGAGAGAAGCGAAGTCGCGATGTATTCGGCTAGCCGCGATTACTGGTGAAGAACTCACCGACACGCATGCCTGCTCGTTACTTGATTTGCCACTGCATCTCCAGTGTGGATCGAGAGCTCGGGAGACATGCCGAGGGTCACCACGAAAACGGTGCCGAAATATCATCCTATAATTATGAGGCCAAAATTAAACACGAAGCACTGCTGTACCTTGAAGACGGCAGTGCCATTGTTGTGGCAAACGTTAATCAGTCTTCCTCGCGTCTCGAATCTATTGGCAATCACAGCAGCCAGGCTTTAATGAAAAAACTCGGCGTTACTATTGATGACGCGTGGCGCATTCACGATTCGTGGACGGAGGCCGCCTCCATTGCTAAGCGCTATTCAATCGGTCTGGAGCCTGCTCGATATCTTAGGCTCCCTGCCATCGAATGAGAAGACAGTCGCCATGCATCTATACGCGAATAGGAACACTGGTGATGGAATTGAATTCGTGAAGAATCGATCAAGAAAGAAGCGAGCATGGGTGGGAAATTCGAATGCTGGCTCTAGCTTCGGCGGGAGCGGGGTCTTCCGCGACCAACGTTTCGAGACTCCAATCCGCAGCGAGAAACGTGACCGATATGAGGGAGTAGTTTTCGCTGTATTTATGATCACATTTTTAATAGGAATCGGGGAATTCGAAAGCGAATCGGGATGAGGAGGGAATTTCAGCGAGGACGACTGGGAGATTGAGGAAGAGCGCTTCTTTCGAAGATGGACATCATTCTGGGATAACGCAGAGCAAGAAAACAG